TGAGGGAGGGAGGGAGGGAGTAAAGGAGAGTGCAAGTCACAGTTCTACTTACATCAATGTACATCTCTTGTGTCCTGCCTTGTTACACTGCTTGTACACGATATAATTATTGTTATATAATAGCCTGCTACTTTAACGTTGTTGCTATTGTTGCTGTTGTTGTTGTTATTGTTATTGTTGTTGTTGTTGTCTTTAAGTGTGTGTGTGTGGCAGACATATTTAAGTGGCAAAAGAGTCAGTAATTCTTCTATTGCGCCTATCTGCTATCCACGAGGAGAGGCTCCTGGCCAGGGTCAACGGTTCCTTTCGTGTTGTTGTTGCTGTCGTTGTCATTGTCGTTGTTGTTATCATCGTCGTTATCGTTGTTGTCGTCGTCGTCGTTGTTGTTGTTGTAGTCGTTGTTGTTGTTGTTATTTCCTGTATTCTGCTGTGTACTGCAACTTGGGCAGCAATACGCCATTCATTCATTTTTCTTATACCCACCCTTTGGTACTAGAGTCTGTGATTAGGCTCCTCGCCATCATGCGCAAATGACGTGAGCTTGGTTCCCGGGTGAGGAAGGTTGTTTTATTGAGATCCCCTTCTGTCTGCCAGGATGCCCAGTCCCATTCAGTCCAAACGGCTGGCTCAGTCAGGTAAAGTTGAAGCAACTCACCTCCTAAATCATCGAAATTGTACTGATTGGGGCGTAAAAAAACGTAGGCTACAAACATGACGTATAATTACAGTAACCTCACTGGTCCGCCTTAATCAGTCCAGATTGTTGTAGGTTGCTCCACGTAATTCATTGAAAGAGAAAATTGAAAGAGTCAAAATCTCAATAACAAATTTATGAGGAGGTTGAACAGATTTTGTTTTTTGAAACACGCTCATGAGCAGAATGATCATGGATTTATACACTTTATACATTGTTTTCTGTTTGTTCCAATTTTTAAAAAAGAATGACGTACGTAAACTGTGACGTTGTGGGTGTGGAACACTTGCATTAAGAAAAAGAACAAAACAATAAGGGTTCACAATCATCATCTCCCCCACCTGGGGCAGGTGATTTCATTTTCTTTCTTTCTTTCTTTCTTTCTTTCTTTCTTTCTTTCTTTCTTTCTTTCTTT